TGAATTGAGTTTCCATCTTTCTGATTTCTTCTCGGTTCTGACCTTGATTCCGACGGTTTCAGCAATGTGAGCGTAGAGCGTAAACGTCTTCCGAGAAAAACTTCGGCTGGTGACAGTCCACAATGTTGGGCATGGTGTTCTGCGGTAGTTGAACAGGAAATTTGTAAAGCTTCTTGTGTCGTTCCTTCCCCTTTGAGTTTCTGAAGGGTCCGCTTGAATGTATCTACGAAGCGTTCAGCTTGGCCATTGGATTGTGGGTGAAATGGTGGTGAACGAACATGTTTGATTCCATTCTGCAAACAGAATTCCTTGAATTCTTTTGACGTGAATGATGTTCCGTTGTCAGTGACGAAAGTTTCCGGGTAGCCAAATTGTGAGAATAATCGTTGGAGTTCCTTGATTGTTGAGCGAGATGTCGTGGATGACGTTTCAATAATCTCTGGCCACTTTGAGCAGGCGTCCACGAGTACAAGAAACATTCTGCCATCAACTGGTCCTGCAAAGTCTGCATGAACGCGGTTCCATGGCTTCTCTTCTGTAGGCCACGAGGAAAGGGTAGTCTTGAATGGGGTTCTTGGCCATTTGCTGGCAACGGATACAAGAGTTCACTTTGTCCTCGATATCCTTGTCGATGTGTGTCCAGTAGCAATAGTCTCTGGCCAGCATTTTCATCCTTGAAATCCCAGGATGACCATTATGTAAGGTCTGAGAGAACAGCGGCTTGTAGACTATCAGGGATGATGACACGGTCTCCGAATAGTAAGCATCCTCTGTGAGTCGTGAGACTATTGCGCATCGAGTTGAATCGAATTAAGTGATTCTTTGGTTTCTTCGGCCATTTTCCACTTTGAACGCATTGAAGAACTTCTCTCAATTGTGAATCCTTGAGCGTTTCTTCAGCGACAGTGTCTGCGGTTGTTGGGAGTTTTGTGGATGTCTGCGAGAACAGATTTACAGCATCCACGTTGATTTCGGCAATGACTGTATCCTCCGTCGGCGTTGGCTGTTCGGCAATGAGCCGGGATAGTGCGTCGGCTTGTCCGAAGTTGCTGGTGGTCCGGTATTCAATCGTGAAGTTGTAATTGAGCAGGATGAGTGACCATCTTTGGAGTCGATTTGCTGTATAGACAGGAATGCCCTTTTTACTTCCAAATATTGTAAGGAGTGGCTTGTGATCCGTCAAAAGCTTGAAAGGGCGTCCGTGGAGGTAGCGATGGAATTTTCGGACTGCGAATACAAGGGCGAGTCCTTCTTTTCCACTTGTCCATAGTTCTTCTCTGCAGCTGTGAGGGTGCGGCAAGCATGGTAGATTGGCTTCTCCGTTCCATTCGAGAAACGATGTGATATTACTGCTCCTATCCCATATTCGGAAGCATCGGCCGCAACGATTATTTCCTTAGAGGGTCATAATGAGTGAGCAGTAGATCTGACGACAGGACCTCTTTGGCACGATCGAAGGCTTGTTGGCAGTCTGGTGACCAGTTGAACGGTACATCCTTTTTGAGTAGCTTGTCCAAGTGGCGCGCGAAGTTGGCGCATTTCTTCGACGAAGGCTCCATAGTAGTTGAGTAATCCCAGAAATGATCGTACTTGTGTGATATCCTTGGGAGGTGGCATCTTCTTGATAACCTCTGTCTTCGCAGGGTCAGGATGGCGTCCATTTGCATCGATGATATTGCCTAGGTAACGGATCTGAGGCATCAGGAAACTGCACTTCTCGATGCGGACGCGGAAGCCGAATTTGTGGATTCTTTCGAACAGGGCTTCCAAGTTGGCGGTATGCTC